TTTCCTCCCATTAGTCCTCAAACTTCTAGATTCTTAAGGTCTATTATCTCAAACTCTATAATCATAAGCTGCCATCTAGAAGCAATGATGGGTCTCTCCTCGTCCAAAGCAAAGAATGAAGAAAACCAAACTTAATGAAAACAACTAGTCCTAGCGACTGGTACACCATCCGATCTGCAGCCTATACGACTATGAGACCAGAAGAACTAGATGGTGCCCAGCTACCACTGTTAACTACCTGGAATGGGATCTATGTAGGAGATCCTGGATAGAGGGGGAGAACAATGTGGAACAAAACTAAAATCATTTGGAGGAAAAAAAGGGGGGGGGGGACCAGGTTTGCTGGTCTGATAGAGCCTGGTGGAACCACTGAGACTATGGCCCCTAGCTGCCCTTCAGGTCTGGAATTGAACCCAAACCTGTGGCTTCAGCCAAACAGAGAACAGGCATATGAGCTGGACATTTGCCTAGGGTAGATACGCTTCTTGGAGAGAACAATCATGGGAGAAGGAAGGGCTGCTTATGCACAGGGAAACATCTCAGGGGGCAGGAGTGCATGGAGGGATGGACACAGGGAAGAGGTAACTATGGGAAGGAAGTGGGAGGGGAGCTGTTGCATTGTGGTTAAAAAAAAAAAAAAAAACCTCTATAATCATGTTTATAGCTTAGAGCTTTCTATTACCTCAAGCCTTCAATTTGCAAATTAACCAAATTAGGATTAGATAAACCATCATCACTTAAATTTATCCTGGCTACCAGAAAAAGGGAAAAATTTCTAAACTGTGATTTAGCCAAATTAAAATAGTGTCAATAACAGACACTTATATTAACAAGTTACTATGTATTTAATTAGGGGAGCTCTGGTAGCAGAGTGGCTGAGACACTTGCCTGCTAACCAGACGGCTGGCGGTTCAAACCCACCAGCCACTCCTCGGAAGGAAGGTTGGGCAATCCTACTGCCGTAGTGATACTGCCTCAGAAACCCAAGAAGGGGTCACTATGAGTCGTGACTTGGGGCCGAGTCGACGGCACATAACAACAACAACAACAACAATGTATTTAATTATAAATATTACTGGCTCATGAGCACTAATTCTTCTCATATATGTTCTATATTCAGTCTACTACTCATGTAATTAGAAATTCTACTAACAACTTTAAAAACTTACAATTAATATTGCTACTCATAATTACCCAGTGATGTTTCAACCAAGATATAAGGCAAGTTTGATTTTTTAAATGAAATAAAAAGAAATCAGTGGTAAGGATACTGAAATGCAGCATAGAATGCTTAACTACTTCTAAACTATCTAAAGGTAAGAAGATGCCTTGGGTGGCACAAAGTAGTTTGTGATCCACTACTCAACATTGGCAGATTGAAGCTATCCAGCAGCTTCACAAGAAAGGCCTGGCAATCTGTTTCCATAAAAATTGTTGTGTACCCTCATGTCAATTCCAACTCTTATAGCAAAAAAAGCCCTATGGAGTAGTTTTACTCTGTAACACATGTAACATGTTTTATCAACTCCATGGCAATGGTTAAATCCAAAAAATATATTGCTTATATTCATGTGTTAACAAAATTTTATTTTTGATGTATTTGATTTTCGATAGAGGTAATGGCTTTAGCAAAGCTACCATCTGAACCTCAATACATGAACCTTAGAGTACAAACAAGGCAATTAAGGCATCAAGACTGCATAGCTGCAAGAGACCAAAAAATATATATGCAAGTATTCTGAGAAATGAAAATTTCAATGGATAAACTTTCAATCATTAAGTTCTGAAATCTCTTTTAACTGTAATTCTTCTTTTAATTAAGTACACTCCAATTATCTAAGACATCAAGAAATATATAGGAGGAGGACAAAAATACTCAAAGAATCAAGAGATATTTTTTATCTTTTACATTTTTCATACATGTTGTTGTTGTTGTTATGTGCCGTCGAGTCGGCCCCGACTCATAGCGACCCCTCCTTGGGTTTCCAAGGCAGTATCACTACGGAAGTAGGATTGCCCAACCTTCCTTCCGAGGAGTGGCTGTTTTTATACATATATGTTTGGAAATACTTTAACATGGTTAAAAGTTTTCAAATAATAAGACAATGACTCAGGGCTTACTTTCAAATTTACTATGTGTAGAATTTTAAATGCATAAAAGGACTCAATGAAAGTCACTGAATATCCGAAATACCTGAATCAACAGCTTGAAAGTATTTTGTGGTTAAGGCTCTATAAACCAGGACATAGTTAAATGTTTGCTGCCATCTTGTGGCTAATAATTTAATGTATTTTCCTTTATGAAATTTTTTCATTAGCTGTTTATATATTTCAGTTCTAGGCTTATTAGTCATCTCAGGGCTAGTAAGTTAATAGATTGTATTTTAAAGAAAATCTTACATTAACTGTTTACTTTTCAGTATTAAGGTTATAAATTTGGAAAGGACTACATAAGCCACCTAGTCTGACACCCTGCTAAATGCACAAATAATTTCTATAGGGAGGCATTATATACTGTAAGAAAGCCTATTTTATATATGACTATCTAGCAATATAAAAAAAAATTCTTCCTTATAATAAGTACTTCTGTAAGCTTTATAATAAAAGCTGTCTCTATTATTTGTCCATCATTCCTTTGCACACACTAGCCTCATTTTTCCTTGTATAAATCTTTCTCTACAACAGACAATGCTTTATTTCTAGCAACATATTCTTGGCTCATAGATATTTATAAACAAATAATCAAAAAAGTTTTTTCTTTAAATACATATACACAATGGAATACTACACAACGTCAAAATAACAACAAATCTGCAAAACAACTTCTAACATGGATGATCCTAGAGGACTTTATGATAAATGAAATTAAGTCAATCACAAAAGGACCCATGTTATACTTTTTAGTACTGTAAAAAGTTAAGAAAATGTTTACGCACAGAAAGAATCATTCTTTGAAGGCTACCAGGGGTGGGAGGGAAAGGAGGGTAAATCACTAACTAGAGGGTATAGATAACGTATTAACTTGGGTGAAAGGAAAGGCATAATACAATTAAGAGGGAGGTCAGTACAAAATGATCAAGGCAGTGAAAGACATAGGGAGGAGCACAAGAGTTAAAGGCAATACAGGAGAATACCATAACATACACAATCCTGCAATAACAATAACAAAAATCTGTAAGTAGATATGTAGATAGACACTCAAGCCAAACAGGGTTGGGAAGGTTGAATGGGACAAAATCCACAAATACATATAGGTTTGACAGAGGATATCTCTACCTATGTATTTATATGTGCTCAAATATACCCATGAATGTAATAGAGCATAGAGGGGACCAAGTTACAAAAACTTCTTAGTCATAAGCAAATACCTTGAGGGAATGAGTCACTGGACACGGGGACTCAGTACTATAATCTCAGAAGAAACTAAAGTCAACTGGCATAACACAGTCCACAAAGACATATTCTATATCCTATATTGGTAAGTAGCCACCGGAGTCTTAAAAGCTTATGAGTGGTCTCTCCTGTCAGAAGCAGAAGAAAAATGAAGAAAATCAAAGACACAAGGAAACAGTCAAATGGACTAATGGACCATATGAACCCCAGCCTCCACAACCCTTAGATCAGAAGAACTAGATGGTGCCTAGCTACCACTGCTGACTTCTCTGAAAGGGATCGCAATAGTAGGTTCCAAATAGAATGGGAGAAAAATGTGGAACAAAACTCAAAACCATAAAAAAGACCAAGCTCACTGATCAGATGAAAACTGCTCAACCCCTTAGATTATGGCCTTTAGACAACAAACAAGCTGGGAAGTGAACTCACCCACCATGGCTCAACTTCCAGCCAACTGATAGACAGGCCTATAAGGCAAACAGTAATACCAGGAGGGTATGCACTCAATAGAACAATAGAACAACCAACCACAGGAGATCAAGGGGCAGCAGCGTTTGTCCAGGGATAGAATTAGGAAGGCTGAGGGGATAAGGAAGGATGAAGGGAAGAGGAGGAAGTAAGAAGAATGCTGTCGCATTGTGAGAATTGCAGTGAATGTCACAAAACAGAATGTATATGGATTTTTGAATGGAAAACCAATTTGCTCTGTAAACTTTCACCCAAATCACAATATATCAATCAATCACAACCGTAACTTTAAAAAGGTCTTTTTGATGTTGTTGCTGCTGTTGTAAGCACTTAACAGAGTTTTAATCAAGTATTATCTACTTTAAAAATCACAATTATACCTTAATGTCGTTCAAGGTTAGGCTTATGACTACAATAAAATGTTTTGTTCCCACAGGAATTTCTAAGGCATTCTTAGTTACAACTACTATTATACTAAAATAATGTCACTCATCCTATCAATACATTCTCTTCAATCTACATCACTTGTAAAAAGTGTAAGAAATCTCTAAAAGTGTTTATCAGGTGTCTCTTTCCTATACATGGGGATAAAAACATCAAAATATCCCTTAAAAGACTTACATATTATCCAAACTCCCTGATTTCCGGCCAGTCATTTAACTTCAGTACTTTGATTTTCTTGTCTATCTTCAATCTAATCTCTATGGTATAAAAATAATTATAAACTCATGATAGCATTTGCTCTTAAGAGGCTGGAGTGCAAAAAATGGGTTGGCCAGATCCTAATTTACAGATAGGAAAAGTAACTTGCTTTAACTCATCTATTGCTTTCAATGAGAAAAAAGAACAAAACACTCTTTATTTTACACAGCCATGCCTAAGAGCACCAATGGAAATCACAAGGTACATTACAAGTCCCAAGAGTCATTAAGTTAGACCCACAGGGCCTGGGAGGGTATGAGAGCCTATCTGTAAGCTAGGGACTCAAAACAACTTATTAGATCAGTTTCCCTAAGCACACACAAAACTAAAACTCTCCTACATTCACAAATAACAAGTCATTAGTAATACAGAGGTTTAGTCTGAATGCAATGCTTCAGTGTTTAACTTTTCATTGTAATATTGATTTAAGAACTTACAGCATCTGCTTTACAAATGGTATTGGCTACATGTCGACATAGCATCTTTAGCCAGCTTTCCTTGGGAAGTTCCTCTGATGTCATCTGGAAACTCAGCAGCACATTTGCCTGCTCTGTTGGTGGCCTCACAAGCAAGGCAAAAGCATTATGGCAATCTAGGGTTCCAGAATAACCATAAACATTATTAAGTACCACTTCTATGAAAATGATAGAGTTTAATACTCTCAGAGTTACAAAACCCCAACAACATTATCTCTTTTCCACCCTCTTCCCATTTCCACCTTTTCAGTTAGACAGAGAATTTCAACATATTAAGATGAAGCACTGGAAAAAGTTATGATAGGACCATGTAAGAAACTGACAATAAGGTATTGATACTAAGTAAGTAGTATTTTGCATGATATTTAATGTTAAGTAAAGAAAAATATTAGATTATATCACTTCTTAGAATTCTAGAATATGATTTTTAAATTTTCATTACAAGAATAATTTGATTATTCTTAACCTACATTAAGTTCAAAGAAACAAAATATCCAAATATTAAAATTCTGTGACAGAATGTTTTGTAACTCAGATGATAAAACAAAAGCTATTTTAATAATAAAGTCTTACTAGTTAAAATTCAAATCATTGGGGATAATTTCAACAAATGCACTTAAGTAACCTTTAAGAAAGTCAGAATAAATTTCACAACCAAGTGAAAAACAACATAAATTGCTATTCAAGTTTTCTTTAAGAAGTATTTCTCAGGAACTCAAAGCGTCCATCATTAGAAGATGAAAACAATAAGGGACTCAGCTAACACTGTAGAACTATATGCCTAATATCTGAAATTTGGCCTTGCACACATATAACTGTGTGCCAATTAAGCATATGATATTGTTTTGGTAAGTATAAATTTCTGGCTATTTCAGGCTTTCAGAAAGCCCTTCCTTAATGCACATTTGACATTATGTCAAATCTACCACAGTTAATTTTGGGTACATTTATTTCATGTGCACCTATTCCTGGTTCATATCCTAAATACATCACTAACAATGAAGCCATTGGCAATAGGGAAGGTACAATATGTGGAGGTCAGATAAAAGACTGGAGATTTCTTTATGACTCTGAAGGAGTGAAAAGTTTTGGTGAGGAAATAAGCTAGGCTACTGCTTTAACACAGAACTTCTTAAAAAGCTGTTTATCTGTTAAGGGAATGAGGTGTTACACAGGTTGAGATACCACATTCATCGAAATCAAACTTCAAGTCTGTTCCTAGAAAGAGCGTTTGGATAGAAATGTAAGAATAATTACTTTTCTGGAAATGACCAACAATATTTAAAGAGATTAAATATATATATATATGGGAGTGAATCAAACCCAGAATGAATATAGACCATTTTTACTTAACAAATAATCTCTCATAAACATACCTTCTGTCTCTCTTATGTCCAGCACCTTCTTAATTTGAGAAAGAGGCATTAGATGAATATGCTTAAGAGAAGTTGGGGGTCGAGTATGGCCATGAGGACTCCAAAAAGTACCAATAACTTTGTGTCGTTTCTTTGCCATCTAATTATAGGGGGAAAAAAATCACTAGTAATTTGAGTAATTAAAGATCACACTCTTATTAAAAAAATGGCACTGATTACATATATTTATGTGCTGCTCGCTTGATTATTGGTCATTCTGGGGCTACTATGTGATAAGAAGCAGAGTTACTATATATTAATTGTGTACCAGATATGTTCATGTTTATAGGACAAGAGCTCCAAATTGAGGAAAACTGACAAAAAGAGATAAGGGTATGTAAAAGTGTGAAAAAGTCAGAAGCTAAGTGAGGAGCAACAGAATCAAAGAATGAAAGAATCCTGAATATAAGGCCTTGAGTTCAAGAGAAGAGGAAGAGCTACTCTAGGATCTCTGTTTTGAGCATCAGTGATAACTGATTCCAGTTTAAGCACAGAATTCATGTTTCAGGTGCTGTGTAAGGCACTGAAGACAAGGGAGTGAATAAGATAGAAATGGTTCCTGTTCTCATGAGTTTTACATACTATTGAGAAATGTAAACACCAAAGAAGCAATTAAACAAAACATTAAACATAACACAAACACATGAAAAAAATGATAAATTCAAGGTACTATGTTAAGGATAAGCTGGGAATTCATAAAAAGAGATCATTTAAGTAAAGCTATAAACTGGAACAAAATCAGAAAGTATCTTAGGAATCATGATTTACTTGGGGAGAGGGGCAGTTTCTGTGAATTTTATGTAAGATCTTTAAAATTTATGTTTTCATTTCCGTGAAAGCCTATTGTCACAGGTTAAAATGCGTCCCCCAAAAATGTGTCAACTAAGCAGGGCCATCATTCTCAGTGGTCTGGTAGTTACGTAATGATGTAATCATTCCCCAAGATGTGGTCTGCCAGGCAGTTGTAAGGGATTAGGGTGATAGGCAATATCCTTACTCAGGTCAGAGCCCTGCTCTAATGAAAGGGCAATTTCCTTGGGGTGTGACCTATATCACCATTTATCTTACAAGAAATAAAAGGACAGAGAAAGGAGCACAAAAGGAAGGACCTCAGTACCACCAAGAAAGAAGAGCCAAGAATGGAGCTCATTACTTGGACCCAGAGTTTCTATACTGAGAACCTCCTAAGCACAGGGGAAGACTGATTCCAAGACACATGGAGATCTCCAGGAAACCCTGGGACCTCAGATGTTGAAAGGAGACAAGAGCTTCTCCAACAACCAACAGAAAAAGCCTTCCCCTAGGGCTGGTGCCCTGAATTTGGCCTTCTAGCCTCCTAAACTGTGAGGCAATAGATTTCTGTTTGTTAAAGGCATCCACATGTGGTATTTCTGTTACAGCAGCACTAGATAACTAAGATACCTAGTGATACTATTTTGCCATATGAAAAACACATCTTTTGTAGTGACAGTTATCAAGAAAAAGACATTAACATAAAGATGTAGATTAAGTTACTTAATGAATTATGATTTGGTTATCCTCATGAATATGAGAGTGTGGCTAAAAAGTCACTACAAGAGACTAATAAGAAAAGACCAAAATCCATGGTTGGGGGGAAAAAAAAACCGTTGCCAATGAGTTGATTCTGACTCATAGTATCCATATAGGACAGAGCAGAACTGCCCCAAAAGGTTTTCAAAGCTGTAATCTTTAGGGAAGCATATAGATCTCTCCCACAGAGTAGATTTGAACAACCAACTTTTTTGCTAAGCAGTAGAGTGCTTACCCATTGCACCATCAGGGCCAGTATCATATTCACAACAGAGTAGAAATACAACACAGATCAAAGCTTGAGCATATCAAATATTAAAAGTTCATCTACATTAATAAAGTAAAAATAAGCAATAAAGACTTTTCCATTTACTATTTCCATAATAATAATTAAAAATGCTTTTAAATTAATTTAGCTGAGCAAAATACTGAAAATAATTTTAAGGGTCACTTTTAAAAAGAAAAATAATGACAAGTGTTAATATTGATGATATAAATGCTAATATATTATAATAAAAACTCATAAAGGAACTCATAATATTATATTATCTCAGTATCTCTGAATTCCACAAACTACTGACTTCTTTGCTGGAAAAATCTACTTAAATTTCAATGTGTTTTTCTCACTCAAATTATCTTGTAAATCTTGAATAAAAACACATAGAAACAAGATGTCTTAAATTTTTTTACTTACATGTTTATTTGCATGGTAATTAACTTCTCCTTTTGACCTGGATTTTAAGTCATGGAAATTTATCATATTTCTTAACAGTAAACTATCTCCTTAAAACATTCTTCTGTGTTGTTGTTATGTGCCGTCGAGTCGGCCCCAACTCATAGCGACCCCTCTTTGGGTTTCCGAGGCGGTATCACTACGGAAGTATATTGCCCCATCTTCCTTCCAAGGAGTGGCTGGTGGGTTTGAACCACCAGTCTTCTGGTTAGCAGTCAAGTGCCTTAGGCACTATACCACCAGAGCTCCTAAACATTCTTCTAATAGTATTAAATAAAAAACTGGGCTTAATTTAAAAAATTTATTATTTAAGTTGACTTTAAACTTCTACTTCAAATAAAGCTTGGTTTTAAATACTCAGGAAAGTCACAGCAATCAGAAGCGTTATCATACTACAATAAGTACAACTTTACCTCCAGGCAGTCATTGAAGAGGAAGAGAGTTACTTGTTCTCCTTTATCACAAGGGTGCTCACCTAGAGAAATTGTTTCAACTCGTTGTACTAAGCTTCGGTGAGAAGATAAAAGATTAGCCTGCAAAGGTTGAAAATATCAATAAAAGAGATCACTTGGTGTGGTGTAGTGAATTACATAGTGTGACTTTCTAGCCATAAGTCTTCATAAACTTTGTGGTGGAATTTGCCATGAGCAACTGAGTAACTCCTGATTGTTAAAGTTATCCACCAGGGTTATTTCTGTTGAGAGTGGCATGAAGCAATCTTCTGGGAAGTTCTCTCTCTCAGGTGTATAGAATTCAGATGTTGGGATTAGTTAGTCTGGCCAGTCTGCCAGGCTCAAAAGGAGCCCTCCTAGAAGCAGAAGGAGTCTCTCTGACTGCTGGCTGAGAAAGACGTGCTGCTGAGAGACACGCACTATTGAGAGAGCAATGTGCTACAGAGACTGCTGGCTGCTGAGTGAGATGGCCAGCTGTGAGAGACCAGAATTGTAGTCTGGTGCTTCCCTAATAAACCCCATCTGTGAGCTCTGTGTGGCCACTGCAGCAAATTATCCAACCCAGCAAAGAGGTGGTGGGTGCTGCAGAAGGAACAGTTGGTGAAAGGGATGGAGGGAGGCAGCATGTCTGGCCTCACAGGGATAGGCCTTGAGTTACTGATGGTGATTCTGTCTTCCTCTTGTGCAGTTAGAGGAGGTCAGAAGATGTGGCCTCCTTGCCCCTTTGGCAGTTGGTGTCAGAAACCGTGGAATTTTGTAAAAGAAAGAAGGAAGGGGCCTAGGAAGTGAAACTTTGGATTCTATTTGGTTGGTGTTATTAAAGGAGATAACTGATTCACAGGGTAGGGCTTTTGGTTACACACAAAGGCCCAAGGCTGTATACATAGAATGGGAAGATAATCAAGGTGAAGAGATGAAACTGGAATGCCTTAAAAATGATTATGTGTTTTGGATTATGTATTTATCTAATTGTACTATGGATTCTGCATGTTCTCTTACTTAGTTGTATGTTAGAAATGATTATGGGTTATGGATAATGGAGAGTGTGTGAGTCTGCCTTCAGCTGATACTTGATTGGATATATTAAAAGGGGAAATAGAATTTGCCTAGCAGAAACACAGGCTTTTGTTTCAAGCCCTGTGTTTAGAGTATTAGGGGCTTAGGTAGAAAACCTAAGCCCCAACCAGAACTACTGAGAGAACAGATCTGCATTTGAAGACAGGACTTACAGAGAAAAAAAAAAAAAAAAAGACTGTTTGGCTTTTTGAATTTTGAGCAAGCAGTTAGGCTTTGAGTCCATCAAGGCAGGAAAGTCATGGTCCATAAGAGAAACCCCTTCCAGAACTGGAAGTTAAAGGAAGCCAGCAAGTGGTAGTCTTGGATGCTGCTTACTTGTGACCATTTGGATCCACTTGAGTGGCAATGGGGGAAGTGAAGCAAAGAAGAAACAGGCTGAGTTTGGTACTCTTTGACTTAGATCACAGAGGCTGGGAATGAGATGAAGGGCTGGCTAGTCTGAAGTGCAGTGGGTTGTAAGCCTATGGGCATTGAAACAGTCCCTGTGGACTGATGTTCTAAGAGAAGGTACTGGCTGGTCTGAAGTGAAGGGAAGAGTGTGACTCCCAAGCTTGGCAGCTGGAACCCATGACCTAGCTGGGGGATGGCTAGGGCAGAGTTGACCAGAACCCAACCAAATGAAGAGGAAAATGTTTGATACTGATCTGGTGTTCTCATTGCTGTCGAGTTGGATCCAACTCATAGCGACCACTCCTTGGGTTTCCAAGGCAGTATCACTATGGAAGTACATTGCCCAATCTTACTTCCAAAGAGTGGCTGGTAGGTTTGAACCACCAGCCTTCTGGTTAGCAGTCAAATGCCTTAGGCATTATACCACCAGAGCTCTTGAGATGGTATTACATTGCTGCAATTGATGGCTTGTGCTGGGCTGGACTTTGCTTGTTTATGGATGTAGATGCCCAAAGTTTCTAAGCAGAAGAGAAGATACTTCCGTGAGAAAGGAAAAAGCTTGTCTCCTCAGAGTACTGGTTTGATATAGATGGACAACTTAGAAATTGGCTATTTAACATGGAAGAAGATAAAGGCATGAAGTGGTTGGCTTACAGACTTTAATGGGTATGGTTATTCTTAAACTGATGGTGAAGGGGAAGTTTATTTTTAAGTATAAAAGGGATAATGGCTAGAAAAGACAGGGAGTGGTCTGCAGTGTAGTAAATTACATAGTATATAGTATGGCTTTTCTAGCCGTAAGACTGTAAACTTCGTGGTGGAATTTCTCATGAGCAACTGAGTAGCTCCTAACTGTTAAAGTTATCCACCTGGAGTATTTCTGTTGAGAGTGGCATGAAGCAATCTTCTGGGAAGTTCTCATTCTCTCTCAGGTATATAGAATTCTGATGTTGGGATTGGTTAGTTTGGCCATTCTGCCAGGTTCAAAAGGAGCCCTCCTAGAGGCAGAAGGAGTCTCTCTGACTGCTAGCTGAGAAAGACAGGCTGCTGAGAGAAACATGCTCCTGAGTGACGTGAGAGACACATGCTGCTGAAAGACAAGAGAGACATGCTGGCTGCTGAGTGAGATGGCTGGCTACGAGAGACTGAGTACACTTCTGAACTTGAATTGTAGTCTGGTGCTTTCCTAATAAACCCATAATCTGTGAGTTTGATGTGGCCACTACCACAAATCATCCAACCCAGCAAAGAGGCGGTACGTGCTGCGGGAGAAACAGTTGGTGAAAGGGCTGGAGGGAGGCAGCATATCTGGCCTCGCAGGAATAGGTCTTGGGCTACTGATGGTGATTTTGTCTTCCTCTTGTGGGGTTAAAGGTGGTCAGAAGATGTGGCCTCCTTGCCCCTTTGGCACTTGATATTAAGCAATAAAAGGAAATTATAACTTAAAAGATAATGGTGCCAAGATTCTGTTTCTATTAAAACTGTAGAAATATCAATAATAAGAAAGATAACTGACAACTGTTAAAAATGAATACTTACTGGGCATCCATCTACTTCATAAAAAACATCAAAAATTTGCTTTCGGGCTTCTGTTTTTCTCTTATCCTCATTAATATGCCTGAAACATTAAAAATTATTTTTAAAATTTTAACTTTTAAAACAAAAGGACAAGAAATCTGCAATCAAACCTATCCCAAGTCACTTAAGACATGTCCTTCCTTGTGGCTCTATATAAATTTTGATAGAAGAATCAGTTAAAATACTTCCTAAAAGTATTCTACTGCATTAAAAAAAAAAAAAAAATCCAAATAGCAGCTCCTTCAGAGAGTATGTTTCACTCTACTCTTTACTATGTACTTCCTAAAATATATTAAACTTGTCTAAACTTTAGGCTAACTAATACAATTCTAAAATTCTCTATATAAGCTCAGTCATGCAAGTCACTGCCCAAATCATATGCTAAACATTTCATTAAAAAAAAAAGACTACTGCTTTCACACCAGATGGAATAAAAGGGAATGAATTCGCCCTCCTGTCTAAACAAGTGAAAAACAACTGTGATGGTTAAGTTTGTGTGTCAAGTTGGCTGGGCCTAGTTGAGTGGCTGGGCAAATGATGGTAGTTATTCCCCATGATGGGACTGGCAATCATCTCCATGGTGGGATCTACCACAAGCAGTTGAGTAGCTGCCTTAGGGATATGGTCTGCTTCCGTATATAAAAACAGCTTTCGGAATGGTCTATAGCTTATGGCACGCTTGAACCCTGCATGTAGCCATGTCGTTGTTCAGTAGCTGGCCATGCTCTGCTGACCTTGGGACTTAGAATGGACTTCAATTAATGGCCTGACGTGTGGTTTGGTAACACCAGGACTGTGCCATTTTATTTGTCAACCTTGGGCTTGTTAGCCTCAGCAGCCAGTAGCTGCCTAAGCGAAGAGATGCCTCTAGCTTCAGTGGGATGGGAGAAAGAGGCAAAGCTGAAGCCCAAGGTTGAGGGGCTTTCACATAGCCCCTAGAGCCTGACACTTTGAACTCGGACTTAAAGCCTCCAAACTGTAAGAGAATAAACTCCTATTTGTTAAGGCCATCCCCTTTGTGGTATATTCTTGTCAGAGCAGTACTAGGTAACCAAAACAACAACCTGTCAAATTACAAAGATTTTAAGTTCTATAAGACAGGAAGCAAACAAGGTAAACCTTACAAGCCCTACCCTAGAAAAAGTTTTCTCCATACATGTAAAGCAAAGGCAGTACCCAACTCTTTCCCTTTATGAGTTCAGAGAGGAAAAGATGGCTGTGTCTGCATGACAAAGTACTGGAAAAGATCTACAAAGGGAACTCCACAGATCTGTAGAAGGCTCCCTAGTGTATTTAGTTGTGCACTGACTGATGCATGTGTATAAGGAAACTACTGAGACTAAGGAAAGAAAAACCAAAAAGATTAGAGTTAACAGTGCCTAGCACTCACATGGCATAGAATAGACTATTCCCATGAATCAGTGGCAATCTTCATGATTCATGGAGCATCAGGTACTAGGAAGGTCATGCATCAATAGTGGAGAATACTAACCTTAGGTATATGCTGTTCTGATTCTGCCTAACAAAGTTTAAAAACAAGACTTGAAAAGATCAAATAGTCTGTAAGTAACTTAAATGCATGCCCCAAAAAAGTTGAAAATTATTGTAGGAATACAAAAATATCTAGCACTCAACAAAGTAAAATTAATAATGCCCAACATATTAGCCAGCATGCAAAGAGGCAGGGAAATATGGTCCACACTGAGAAGACAAAAAGTTATCAATCAATTGAAACTGGAACAGAAATGACAAGGATGATGGAATTAGTAGACAAGGGCATTAAAACAGTCGTAATTACTTCATAAGAGTTCCTAGGTAACAGAAACAGTTTCGTTTGACAGGTCAGATCCACCCTAGGGTGCCTCAGAAGTACAGAAAGACCTGTGATCTACCTCTGAAAGATCATAGCCATTGAAAACCCTATGGAATGCATCTCTACTCTGAAACAAAACAGACTTAACAGCAATTAGTATAACTATGTCACAGGTTCAAAGAGCTACAGGAAAGATTAAACATATTAAGTAGGGACAAAGAAGTTTTTTTTTTTTTTTTAAAGAACCAAATCAAACTTCTAGATGGAAGCTAAAGTATCTTAAATGAAAAATATACTGAATTAGGCATTGTAGAAGAAAAAAATTAGAGAAACTGAAGGATGACAATAAACTAGCCAAGTGAAAGAGAGAATAAAAGCTATTGGCAGTGGTGGGGGAGAGGGGTGGTCCCAAGCATCAGGTTGGGAGAACAATAAAATATTTGAAGAAATATGATTTAAATATTTCAAACTTGATAAAAGCTATAAAACCACAAATGCAAGAAGTTCAATAAACCTCAAGCACAAAAACATGAAGAAAATGACATCAAGTCACATATAAAGTGTTGAGAAACAGCAAAGAGCAAATCTGAATTAAAAAAGCCAGAGCTGTATTAGAGTAAGGAAATGACACCAGATGATAAATAAATCCATTGGAAGAAAAGAAATCCACTGTCATTGAGTCAATTCCATCTCACAGAGTAGAACTGCCCCATAGGGTTTCCAAGGCTGTAAATCTTTATGGAAGCTGACTGCTTCATCTTTCTCCCATGGAACAGCTGGTGGGTTCAAATCACCAACCTTTTGGTTAGCAGCTGAATGTGCTAACCACTACACAACCAGAGCTCCAGGAAGAAAAGCAGAAATGGTAGATAAGGTTAATAAAAGAAACTCCCTAAAATGTATACTAGCTCTCTTTTCTACTCTCAACTTCTTTTTAAAAGATATAAAAATATATAAAGTAATAATTATAACAATATATAGTTGGGTTTGTAACAATATAGATGTAATATATATAACAATAAAAGCACAAATGGGGAAAAGGGACTAAAGTTATATAGGAGTAATGTTTCTATATTTCACTGGAATTAAGTCAGTATAAAGCTGGAATAAATTTTGTTAAGATGTATATGACAAGCCCTAGAGCAACCACTAAGACAAGTTTTTAAAACATAGTGAAAAAATCATTTAAAAAAATTAATGTTACATTAGAAATTCACTTCATGGGAAAAAGAAAACAAAAACAGTAAAGGTCGAACAAAAGGAAGAAAAAAAGACATAAGACATACAGAAAACAAAAGGTAAAATTTTAGTCAGAGTAAATCCAACCGGATCAGTAATATCAGTAACAACAGTAAATGTAACTAGATCAAACATACTAATCCAAATGCAGATATTAAAAAAGAAAGAAAATTCAACAATATTCTGTATACAAGAAACACATACAAGTACATTTGTAACATAAAAATCAATTAATATAATTAACACAGCCCACCAGTAGAAAACAGAAAAACCACATGGTCATTTCAATAGGTAGGAAAAGAGCAACTGACAAAAATCTAACAGTCTTTCATGACAGAAGCACTCAACAAACTAAGGACAGGAACTTCCACCTGATAATCTACAAAATATCCACAGCTAACATGCTTAATGGTGAAAGATTGAATGAACACACTTAATGGTGAAAGACTGAATATTTGCCCCTGAAGTCAGGAACAAGACAAGATGCTCACTCTTGTCACTGCTATTTAACAGTGTACTGGAGCTTCTAGGCAAGATAATGAGGTAAGAAAATAAAAATTGGAAAGGAAGAAGTGAAATTACCTCTATGCAGAAGATATTAATACTGTATATAGAAAATTCTAAAGAATCCATCAAAAAACTATCAGAACTAATAAGTTTAACAAGGTTGTATGTTACAAGATTAATATATAAAAACCAATTATACTTCTATACAATAGCAATGAGAATTCAAAAAAATGAACATAAGAATACAATCTATGATAGCATCAATAAGATACTTAGGAAGTAGTTTAACAAAAGAAGTGCAAAAGATATACTATAAAAACTACAAAACATTGTGGAAATAAATTAAAGAAATCTGTTGTTGCTATTAGTGCTATCAAGTTGATTTCAACCCTTAGAGACCTCACGTATGCACAGTAGAACTGCCCCTAACAGTTTTCAAGGCTGTGACCTTTCACAGAAGCAAGTCACCAGCCCTGTCTTCCCAGGTGCTTGCTGGAAGTTTCAAACTACTAACCTTCCAGTCAGTAAATAACTATTTGTGCTACCCTGGATTCCTAAATAAATAACTGTTCATAGACCAAGAGACTTGATATTGTTAGATGGTAATGGTCACCTAACTGATCTACAGATTCCATGCAATCCCTATCAAAATCCCCACTGGTTTTTTGGTGTATGCAGAAATTAATAAGCTGATTCTCAAATTCATATGCAAATTTTTTTTATTAGGATTTGGGTGAAGATTTACAGAGTAAATTCACTTTTCATACAGCAGTTCACATATACTTTGTCTCATGTCATTGACCA